CTGAAGTGATGGGACCCATATAGGCAATTCGGTCATGTGTAAAAACAGATTTTGGAGACTTGTGTGTGCTAACACCATAAGATAAAACAAACACTCACATTCAAAAGTTAACTAACATTTTAGCTAACTGAAAATCTGTGCAACAGCAATTATGAGGACTTACTAATGTGGTATTAACAAACTGCGTGCTGAACTTTAAAACAAAGTAGCAAGGCACAGCCAAAGATGGAAAGATGGCATGGATAATATCAACCTTTCCATACATCATAATTAAGTGATGGACTTCTCATTTGATTTACTGTCAAGTTTATCACAGAAAACTAAGGAATCGGGTTTCTAAGCTTTCCCAAAAGAATCATCATGTTACAATATTTTTGCAAGATCCAGGTTAACACCTGGCAAGGAGAGATGCCACCATTTCAGTCTAGATGACTGACATCTTTGAGAGAAGCATACAGCAGCAACTACAATTTACAACAAGTAGGTTTGTGGCCATCTGACAATAGGCGAGCGAGTCTCTCGGCTCTTAAGCTGGTTTGATAGACACTTTGTCCCTCCCAAACAGCGCCTCTAGCAACACAGAACGCCAGGCCCCATTGGCTCTCAGAACAAACCCCTGCTCTGCTCCTGTGCTGAACAGGGACTGCTCAGCAAAGCACCCCCATCTCACATATACCCCAGCCCATCCACACAGACCCCCAAATGCCCCACGCATACCTCAGCAACCCTCCACCACCCCCATCTCATCAGCACCTGATGCACACCCCAGCCCACAACACTTCAGCCCCTGTCCACAGCTCCCAACTCCAGCACCCCAAAACACCCCCATTCACTCTATAGCACCCCCACCCTGCAGTCCCCTAACATTCCCCACTCACCCCATAGCCCCCACAACTCACTCCCAGCCCCTCACCCACCACCCGTGGGACATTGCTAGCCACTCACTGCCCAGCCCCATGGTGGAGTGCTCTGCTCCCAAGCCAGAGCGGCTCCTCCTGACTCTGGCCGACCAGCGGCTCTGCTCACTCCCATCGCCCACCTGTACCCACACGATGTAGGCCACATTGAAGAGAAAAGTGGTGTCATGACCTGGCACGCAGGAGGGCAGCACCACTCAGGTGTGGCCCAGGTAGCTGCTCATCCATCATGATGGAGAGCCACACCTGAGTGGCACTGGGATCCACTAAGCCTGGTTGCAATGCCACTCACTCAAAATTGGACCTCTGTCCCCACCCCCAAATGTCACACAGGAGCAGCTGGACCAAACCTGAGCAGTGTTGCAACCTCACTCATATTTGGCTCAGCCACCCTTCCATCCTCATGATGGAGGGACAGATGGGCCAAATTTGAGTGGTGCTGTGACCCCTTGTGCCGGAGCATCATTCCATCCTGGATTTCAGGTGCTAGAGTCACTCTCCAGACCACTCCAACAGCGCTACACCCTGGATCATATGGACCTCAGGTGGTTTACCCATTCCTCTGCTTGCTGCGTATCTTTGGGCAAATGCCCAAATGCAAATGGACAATGCATCTGTCTGGAAGAAGCTGTTGAGTCACTTTAAACAGCGGCAAGTCACAGGCACTGAGAGGACTGTCCTGCATGTACCAACTGCAGCTAGGCCACTCATGACAACATGGTTGGAAAGAAGGGGGCTGTGACACCAGGATCCAGTCAGAGGTAGAACTGCAGGCACCCCCCACCCCCAGAGAGGGAGCAGAACCGGTCACCTGAGGGGCGAACTCACGAGATTCCAGAGGAGGTCAAGTATCAGGGGGTAGCCATGTTAGTCTGTATCTAGAAAAACAACAAGGAGGCTGGTGGCACCTTAAAAGACTAAGATTTATTTGGGCATAAACTTTCGTGAGTAAAAACCTCACTTCTTCGGATGCATAGAGTGAAAGTTACAGATGCAGGCATTATATACTGACACATGGAGAGCAGGGAGTTACTTCGCAAGTGGAGAACCAGTGTT